TAAAAATGTACAAAATAATATGGAAGTTAAAATTCGAATTGTGGAAGAAAAAATTGTAGATTCTAGGTCTAAATCTGATTTTATATTATTTTTGGGGAAAAAAATAATTCACACGCAAGAGACATGATCCATCAGATAGAAAGATTTATTTTTACAAAATTGTGCTTTGTAATACTCAATCTATTTAAGAATATAAAATATTTTTTAAAAAATTAATTATTTAAAAATATAAGGTATTTTAAACTTTTGAAATGTAATCATTATTTTTTTAAGTACTCTATTAATAAATAATTTTATATTTATTATAAAGTATTTAATAAAGATAACTATAAAAAAATAGAGTTAGTTTAAAAATAAATAATTTTATTTATAAATAAAATTTAATTAAAAATATTTTTTATTTTTAAATAAAGTATATATTTTTCCTTCTTGACAAAATACATTCCATTTCTTATTTCTAGATGGACACCACATTTGCACACCCTGGCTTGTAGTGTTGTCAAGTCAATTTCTCTCTCCAATTCCGCAAGATGCCATTATCTATTGGGAGAATGACTGCTAGGCATATATAGCACCTATTAATTCAAATTAGCTTTTAAATAAAATTTCAAAAATTTGTAAATTTTATTTTTAAATTTATAATATTATTGTGATGAATTTATAATTTATTTTTTTTAATTTTAATATTTTATATTAAAATTAAAAAAATAAATTATAAAAATTAAAAAAAATAAATTATAAATTCATTACAATGAAATTATAAAATTAAAAGTCAAACTTATAAATTCTTAAAATTTAACATTTAAAATTTAATTTAAATTAATTAATTTTTTAGGACCTATATGTCATTCTCCTTATCTATTCTCACAACCACTGTATTTTGACTCTCTTGTTGGAATATTTATTTATGAATTTGTATTAATTAATAAACCTAAATAAATTAGTCTTTATAATTTTGTATGGATCGTGATAGATGAACCACATAAATGAGTCTAATGGGCAAAGGCCCAACCTACAACCTTATGGCCGTTAGTTATTCCCTCTCTATGAAATATAATTAATTATTTATTTATTAAAGCGGCTACTGATCTGTTCCATATAAGTATCAGTCAATAACACAAAGACATGATAGTTTCACTTTTTCCATTATCTCTAAACTCTTTGCAAACTACGGCAATCCAGTGACTTGTATATCGGCCTATACTCGAAGTAATTAAAGTCTCATATTCAGTTATAAATTTTTCAAATTTATATATCACTTTATTATTACTAAATTTATATAAATTGAGATATTGAAGTTAATATCTCTTTGATCATGAGTGGTAGGGCACAAGTGACAAGGGAGTGTTGGAATCCAATCATCTTTCCATTTTCTTGTAGTTTCACCATTTCCAATCTGTCGCAGAGATATTTTTTTGAGAAACTTTTTTGGTGAAAACTACAGGAAATGGTGAAATACCTCTACCGACACACTTAGATTTTCCCATCTTACATCCTTTTAAAGTTCAGGAAATGGTGAAATGCTTAGATTTTCTCCACAAAAAAAAAAAAAAAAGTCTACCCGACAATAAATCCCTGAAGCTTTCCCATCTTTTTTGGCATCTAAGAAGGAACACTTCAGGAAATAAATCCCCATCAATACTCTTACGCTGAGGTTGTTAGGTTGATGAGGGAGTGCAACGTCCGAAAATTTAATCAAAAAGTTAAATTAATTAATTGAGTATTTTAATTGGTTAATTGAGGTTGAGTTAATTGAGATGTTTGAATAGTCATCTAGATCTATTGAACCTTATATGAGATTTAAAAGTGGGCTTGGAATGCTCCTAGGCCACTTTAGCCCAAAACTAATAGACTTAAGTGAAAGTCTCTGCTATTGATGCTTAGAAAATTTAAAATTCGGGTTCTGCATCTCGGGTTGAAACAAAAATGAGGATTTTGAGTGGAGACGGAGAGAGAAAATCCCTCCCATTATTGATCCAAGACCAATACCATGAAACTTTCTCACCTTGCTTGGCATCTAGGAAAGAACATTTTGGGAAATAAATCATTAAGGTCATGTTTGCTTATTAAAATAGAATGAAATGAAATGTATTAAAAAAAATAAAGATAAAAATAAAATAATCAAAAATAATATGAAGGCACATTCATAAAGGAAGAGGTTATTTAGTTTATGGAGTTGGACATTTTTAGTTTATTATGCTTAACATAGGAGCAAAGGATAATTTAGTTCATTTTTATTTTAATTTTTTCAATCCATTTCATTTCATTTTATTTTAATAAACAAACATGACCTAAATTCCCTCGATACTCGTGGTGAACAGCCTCCTTCATTTTGTGGTGCCGAGAGTTGAAGCTTCCTCTTCTTCAATGGGCCTTTTTAATCTAATTCTATTAAGCCCATTACTCACCGCTGAACATTTTGTGGGCCTTCCTCATCAGCTGGAAACTCTCCATTGTACCCATTGTTGGGCTTTATGATTTCTGGGCTTTTTTTAGTAGGTGGACTCTCAAGTATATCTTCAATATTCAAATCATCCAAACAGGTTTAACTTATTGAGTGCTCTCTTACCCCAAAAAAAAAAAAAGAAAAGCAAAAAGAAAAGAAAAGAAAACATATTGATTAATATCAACAATAACACATGCCCATATGAATGACCTAAGACATATTCCTACAGTCACCGGTAACTTGCACTTACAATCTCAACACACACTCACTTGAAGGGGAGAAAACGACTCTCACACCAAGGAGAAGGTTTCAAGTCATGCAAATGTGCTTTTAAAAAAAAATCCCGCAATTTGTGATGTATATTAATAATGGGCCAATAAATGTGAATTGCATTGTGGGTCTCATTCTGGCCCACGTCAAAGCATGAGAGGGAAAATAGTGCTTTGGGCTGAGTTGTGACATATGGTAGTTTAAGGCTTTAGAAATACTTTAGAGCTAGTGACCCAAAACACAATGTGCTGTTAGTGTTGTGGATAGAGCGACATTGGAATCAAATTATTTTTGGGGCTATCAAGTGGAGGTGGTACAGATGATAAATTTAGACCTCTTAAACATTATTCAAAAGTTTGATTCTTGAAGGAATGTATGGAAAGCATCAATTGAGAGAGGATAACCTTTAATATTGCTCAAATTCCCCAAGAAATCAATCTCATGGATGTTGGTTGTGAGAATCCCTTGGGAAACAAATATTTATATATATATTTAGAGCTATTTGATTTCCCTTTTAAAATCAAATTTTTTTTAAAAAAAAAGTCGTTTGTTTTTTCTGTCTTCTTTTTTCAGTAAATTTTTTCATATTTGACTCATTTAGGCTGAGTCCTTGAGGTTTGTCCGTATAAAAATTCAGTCCTTGATCCAAATATTGGGGGGGGGGGGGAATGGGGGCTAAATAGAAGGGAAAAGATCTTCAACTATCAATGACAGAACATAATGCCTATCATTGTGAAGATATATTACTGATAAACTTCAAAATACAAAGGAAAAAGTAGTTAGCTTTTAGTTATCATACATCACTTTCTTTTCAACTCATTAATTTCTCGTGTGATGCACAAATTATATACAACAATTTTTTTTTTTCAAATAGGTGATATCTATCATTCATAACGAATTTTTACAAGAATTTTTTTTCAAAATAATAAATTGTAATAGGCATATTTTTTATTGTAAAAATTTTCTTTACAAAATATTGATTCATAAAGGCTGTGATTTTACCTTAATTTCACTCCATCATAAAATTTTTAATTTTCCTCGTTAATGTTATTCATCATTCTCACTTTGCTTCCTCTGTACTTCTTTTGTTTTTGTAGCTTGGGGGAACTAGTGAAGAAATTTGAGCAAGAGCTTGCAGAAGCAAAATCTGCAGTTAAGGCAAAGCAAATTATTTATGAAACCTGAGTCGAGACAGCCTCAACGCTTGAGGAATCAACTAGGGAACATGACAATAATAGTGAAGGTAGGCTAAAAAGACTTGGAGAAGAAGATAAAGTCATTCAAATCCCAAATGCAGTCATCTTGAAAAGATCTCAAGGTTTGTTTAAAGTTCCAGAGATTTATGATTATTGCTCCTTTGAGTTAACCATCTTTATTCAATTACATGCCCAAGTGGAAGGATGGGGTTTATGCAGACCAATATGTTAAGTAATGTATGATTGTCCTGTTTTACAAAATTGCTGGAAGCAGCTTTGATAGTTTTTAATTTTATGCAACCTCTGATTAATATTAAAATGGAAGAACATATCCCATTAATTTGAATTTCAGATGAATGGGAAAGTATTGTTAATCTTTACATGTCAATATACCAAAGAAGACATAATATGTTAACCAATGGGAATTTCTTGTCCGGCTTTAAAAGCACTTTGGCCTGAATATGAGATTAGAAATTCCATGGCTTTGAATGTTTTACTATAACAGCATGGAGTACTTCTAATTTTTCCCCCTTACAAAGTGCTTTTGCTTGCATAATTCCTCTTCGTTTCTTCCTTTTTTTTTTCCCCTATCTTTTTTTGTTTGATTTCGTGAGACTTTTGATTCTGCTGTTATTATTTCCTTCACAAACACTTTTGAAACAATGATTATGCAGCTGATACTTGTCTGCACAATCCTCGCCTGGACATCTCTTGGAAGATTGGGGTAAGTATCACTTGGAAGTTATGGGATGTCAGAAACAGATGTCTTTGCTGATGAAATTTTCACTGTTGATACTGTTCTTTCAGAAAATCGAGCCATGGTTAACCATACTTCAAAATCATTTTCTACTCTTAGAATTTTGATGTAAAGTCTGTTTGTTTTCATTTTCTACTCTTAGAATTTTGATGTAAAGTCTGTTTGTTTTCTTCTCTTTGGTTTTGATGCATAGCCTGTACAGTTTCCAGTTGAGTCAATGATAATTCCTCATTTCACTCAAAAAAGGGTAGAATTGTACAACAACTCTTAGAGAATGCTCTTAATACAAGTGACGTTATTAGTTGGTCACCCTAATTGTTAAACAAACATATAATCAATCCGATTCATGAATTACTTCTAGCTCTGAATTTATATGTCTGCTAGGAATAACAACACTAGTATTAATAAAAGGGGAATTCAAAGGATTTTGAGGTGCTGTTAAGTTGTCATCTCCTCCTTCCAACATTTGTAACACTGTTTTGATGGATGGACGATCTGCTGGGTTCCACTGAATGCACCAAAGTCCCACAATTGCTAATTTTTTCGCAATTCTAATATCTTCTTTGCTTCCTATTTGAATGTGAACATCTCCTCCTTTCACTAAATTATGAATCCATTCTGGGTATAGAACTTGAGGACCTTCTTTTTCAGTGTTTGTATTCTTCCTTCCACTAACCATCTCTATCAGCAACATTCCGTAACTATATATATCAGCTTTATGTGTTACATTTCCAAAATTTTTAGAGAAAACTTCAGGCGCGATGTAACCTAAAGTTCCTCTTGCTGTGGTCATCGACACTGCACTTCTATCTTTAGAGTATAGTTTAGCCAAACCAAAATCAGATATTTTCGGAAGGAAGTTTTCTTCCAAAAGAACATTATGAGGATTGATATCAAAGTGAATAATCCTAGGATCACAACCCTCGTGAAGATACTCAATCCCTTTAGCTATACCAATAGCGATTTGCTGCAAGTTTTCCCATCCAAGGAAGACAGTATTGTCTTCATCATTTGGAGCAGAAACATATCTTTGTAAGGAACCATTTGGAAAGAAATCATAAACAAGAGCTTGATGAAATCCATCAGCACAAAAGCCAAGTAAACGAACAACGTTGACATGGTGGATTTTACCTATAGCTCCAACTTCATTTATGAACTCTTTCCCATGATCCACCTCTGAGTTATTGAGCATCTTCACAGCAACCAAAATTTCTTCTGAAAGCTTCCCTTTAAACACTGATCCATGAGCACCTTCACCTAACGTATCCTTAAAACCACTCGTCATTCGATGAAGATCAGCATAAGAGAACCTAGTAGGTTTAAGTGATCGATAATCTTCTAGAAACTTTTCAAGTCTCACTCTATCCTCTCCTTTCAATTTGAAATGTCTATGTAATAGAAAGAGTCCAACGAGCACCAGGAGGATCATGACAGAACCTGATGTTGTTACTGCACAAATTGAAAATTCCATAATTAAAAAAAAAAAAGTAGTTCAATGTGTAAAAAAAGGAGAAGATAGATCTGAACGATTGAGCTTCACCTGCAACAGCTATACGAGTTGATATTTGTTTCTTGTGATCATAGTCGAGACATTCAATATCGTCTTTGGTTCCATTGTTCTTCAGTTTACACATCTGTCCCTTAATTTCACATCTAGTACAATTGGGTTTCGACCAACTGAGATTCAAAGCATTTTTCTGTATGTTATACAGTTGATTTGACGAAATCTCAATCATTTTGGTACAGAACAGTATATTCGAGCCAAGGAATTGGTCAGTGGATGCAGCAACATGGATTGGGCAAGAGAACATGTCTTGATTGTCAGAACAATTGAGGAAAGCAATGTTTAGAAATGAATCTGATGACTCAAATTTGAAAGTTGATGGTTTGGAGTAGTTGTGGAGTCTATAAAACAAGTTCTGAAGGCAACTTTGAGGATCATACAGTTCAATTTTCCGAGATCGGTAATAGATATTTCTGACGGAGAGGCTTACCGGACCTGAAGGTGTAGGCAGGTCAAGAAGGAGCTGGTCGTGATCTGAACAAGTGATATCAAAGCCAGGATAGCCACAATCAACCGGATGCCTATCTTTGATCCGGAAGGGAAATCGAACCACAGGACCATGACGTCCACACTTTAATTCTTCACACTGGTTCTGACACGATCCATTTTGGGTAAGCAGAATGAATACCAAGATCATCAATCTCCAAGTTCTGCAGAATCCTATCATTGTAACTGTGTGTGTCTTTCAAGCACCTCAACTTCACACTGGAGATCATTTAGCTATATTTTTCAGTGAACCGAAATATTTGAACTGCTTGTGTTTTGGTTTTGACTAAAATATTTTCTTTTTTTTTTTGGGAATAAATATGCAGATCAAGTATTATTAGAATGGGTAAAGAAAGGAAAAGAATAAATTAAAATGGAGGTAAAAAAGAAATACAAATTAGACGTGGAATCGCTTGAATTCTTTGTGACAGCTACGAACTCAATAAAAATAATCAAGTGCAAAGCTTTTTATGCAATAAGGTATCGTTGGTCAACCTTGGTGGGCTGCATTTCGTTGTTTTTAAAATATTAAAAAAAGTACAATCATTACTTTCTTATCCTTTCGTTTTGCTGCGCTCTTTACTTTTTCTAATGTGTAACCCAAATCTGCCCCATGAGAGTTGCTTCTCCCCACCCCACTCCTCCACACCTCCTGTCGAGGATTGAACTGTACAGTTTAAATTTATTATTTTTTAAAATAAAAAGATTATGTCAATTTTAAAAAATTATAATAAATTTGTTCATATCTGTACAATTCAAATTTAATATAAATAAATAGTTCATATTTAATACTCCCTCCATTAAAAAATGTAAGATATTTTTTGAGGAGTTAAATGTTAAAAAATATAAAATATTTTCAATCTTTCGAGGTATAATCATTGCCTTTTTTATAAAGTGCTCTATTGATAATGATTTTATATTTATTGTAAAAAGTTTAATGGGGTAAATATGAAAAAATAGAGTTAGTTAGAAAGTAGGTAATTATTTTATTGAGGGGTGAAATTTAATTAAAAATGCCTTACATTTTTGAATGGAGAGAACATCAAATATTTCATAATTTATTTTTTAAATATATTAATTTTAGTAAATTTGTTTACCTATTTGTACAATCCAAATTTAATATAAATGGTCCATATTTAATATCAAATATTTTATAGATTGACTTTTCAGATATATTTTGAATAGTATAGGTTCAATATTAAATTTTTTATAATTTTTATGAATTAAATATGGACTATTTATATTAAATTTAGATTATCCAAACTGAAAGACAGATTTATTAAAATTGATATATTTTTTATTTTAGAATTTATAAAATAAAAAATAAAAATATTAAATTTGAAACAAATTTAATTAGGGTGGGAGGAGAGAAACCGAGTCCCTGCAAGGGGGAATATGTTTTAAATTTTACTCATAATCTAATCCTTTTTAACTAAGAAACAGAAACATACTAATTTGGAGAGTTTGCTATTGTCTCTTTTGCCCCTCTTAGTGTGCATTTGATTTTTAATTTACCAAACGTTCATTTGATGATATTTGAGAAAAGTTAATTTAATAAAAGTCAATTATTGTAATAAAATTTATGTTTGAATATATTTTTTAAAAGTCAGTTTAATACACTAAAAGTTATTTGATTTGTGATAGTAAAATGTGCTTTTGAATATACAATTATTAAAAAAGACATTGATTTATGATGATTTATAATTTTTATTATACAAATGTAATATATTTAAAATATTTATAAAATGTGATAAAAATTTTAAATAATATAAATTTTGATCTATAATGCTAAAAATTTGATCGCTAGTTATTTGTATTTTTTAATTTGTAATTTTAGAAAATATGATAAAAATTTGTAATTTTTATTATACATTAATGCTAAAAAGTAACATGATTAATTATTTAATTTATAATGCTAAAAAATTGATACCTAATTATAATTATTGAAATAATAAATATATTTTTAATGAATTAATTATTTTTTAAATAAAAAAAGAGATTAAACTTGGGGTAATATGATTAAATAATATCCTATTTTTTAAATTTACTTTTTAAAATTTTCAAATAGTTACGTTTTAAAAATTTACTTTTAGTTACTGTTTAAATGTACTTTTAAAATATATTTTCCTGTAAAATATTTTACCTAAATAATTTTTAACTTTCTAAAAATAAAATTTTACTTTTTAAATGTGAAATGAAAGAAAACTAAACAGGCCCTTAATGTCTAAAATCTCATCCATTCTTCTAAGAAAATTAGATAAAAGTTCTCTAACCATTAACTGAAATAAAAGTTGTAATTTTAGGTGTCAGGAGCAGCAGACACCCAAATCCAAAGCAAACATCCACCAATATACCTACACTTAAAGCCCGTTTATATAATTGTCAAAAACACATTTAAATCTAATAAATAATTGAATTCTTTTAAATATATTTTGTTAAATGTAAATTAAAAATCAAACACACAGTTAATTGCTATCCATAGCTATAAATAGTGCACATCTTGCTCTATTTGTGAAATTTTTGATCATTCTCCGACTTTTGTTACTGCATGAGATGGAAGATGATAAAAAGTGACTTTTACTTTGTTTTGTAGGCTTGCATTCTCTCTGTTTATGTTTTCATGATAGGTCTTCAGTTTTTCATCCAAAAAAAAAAAACTATAAAACTTAACCTCCTATTTTTAATAGATATATATATATATATATATATATTAAAAAATTTGTATACTTAACAATGTTTGTTTCCAATAAATTAAGATATGAGTATCATTTATAAATAATTTGTTCTATAATGAAATTTTGTCATTAATATTATCAACACATTAAAATTTACTTTTTTAATTTTGATTTAATTAGATAAAAATATATTGAATATATTCTCTCCAAACAGCAATATAAATTATTTTTTAAAAACTTTGTTTAGTCTAAAATATAAAGCATTTGGTAGGTATTATATATTTTTTAATTATATGCTTATTTTATTGAATAATTAATAGAGATGTTTTGAATAAATTAAATTTTATATTTATTACATTCAAAAACATAATTAAAAAATATGAAACATTTTAAAAAATTAAAATAAAGCAACTTCTTTTTGAAAAACGTAAATCAATTAATAATAACTACATTATAGTCTGGAGAAGTCTTGCCCTTTTTTATATGGCTTTCTAATTAAATTAAATTCAAGCATTAACTTTAATTAAAGATAATTCTTCCAAATATATTTTATATATTTATACAAACTCAAATTCAAAACTTCCGTGTATATGTGTGCGTTTGGATAGGGAAAAAAATTGATTATTCCCTCCCAAAATCAATTTTTTTAGTAAATTAGCCAAACGATTAGAAAAAGATGAAAATCAATTCTGAACTCATATGCATGTTTTCCTGTAAGCTACTTCGATTAGCTTTCTGATAAAAGTTTTTCAAAAATATTGGAAAAAATTACAAAAATAAGTCCAAAAAAATTTCAAAGAAAGCACATAATTTAATAAAAATAAAATTAAACTATCTTCTCTTTTCTTTTTTTCTTAATAAAATTTAAAATTTGTATATTTAAAAATTAATATTTGATATTTAAAAATTAAATTATATAGTAATTTATATAGCTAAAAATTAATTTTAAAAAAACAGTATCTAAATAGATTGTATCATAACATAATCAATTATGATTAAAATTTATTATTTAATTAATTATTTTTATAATTTATTATATTCAACTCAAAATTTAAACAGAACCCTATGTTGTTGTACTAGAATCAACGCCCAGATCATTTTTCAAGAGATATGGTAGTGCCCCTAATCCAATAGAGCTCAGCTTACGATTCGCTATATTTAAAAAATACAAAATATAGTTGGACCCGGAAACTCGTAGGTCCAGCTGGAGGCGGCTTTCCTCAAGCCTCTCACTCTGGACCATTTAGATTAAATATTTTTAAAATAAAAAATATAAAAAAATTTTAACAAATATATTTATTAATTAATAGTTGATATTTAATATAAATGGTTTAAATAAAATATAAAAATTTAAATTAATTTTTTAGATGTATTTTAGATAGTGCACATACACCTTGAATAAAGTAGTAAGCTTATTAAAAAAATTTAATATTAAATTTAAATTATTTATATTAAATTTAAACTGTCAATAAATGTAATTATTAAATTTTTTTTTACAATTTGTATATATTTTATTTTAAAAATATAAATTTAAAATAAAAGATAAAAGTATTTAATTTGGATGGTCCATAGTTTTCCTTTGCCTCAGTGGAAGAAAAACCGACTGCGGTCCAACTTGACCCTTATATTCTAAGTTATGACACTCCGGCGCATTGATGGGGAGAATTTCAGTTGAGTTGAGAATTAATTTTCGGTGACTGCAAAACAATTTTAAAATTTCAGTTTAATTATGAGGAGAAAGTTAACAGAATTTAGTTGGTGAAAAAAAAATATTTAACTTATTATATAAAATTATTAATTATTAATTTTTTTAATACACTTATTAATTTTAATATTACTTATAAATTATAAATTATATTCATTTGTCAAACAATCAATAATATTAATTATTAATTTACTAACTTTATTTGTTAATTTATTAACATCAATTATAAATTATAAAACATGTTAGTAATTTATAATTAATGTTAATAAATTATAAAAATTTATCAATAATTCATAACTAATGTTAGTAAATTAAAAAGTAAACTTAACCATTTAACAATGATGTTATTGCACATGATTGAAAAATTAATATTAAATCTTATATAATTATTGATATGTTAACTCATATAATTTATAATTTATATTTATAAATTAACAAGTACAATAAAAAAATTAATAATTAATAATTCTGTATAATAAGATATTTTAATCTTTCCATTATCAAAATTTTTTTAACTTTTTTTAAACTGGAATAAAATTTTGTTGGTCAAAAAACTGAATTAAAATTTTAAATTTCTTTTAAATCCTGTTGAAATTTATTCTCTCCTGTTATCCTTGTCTGACATTCTCCCGCATTGATATGTAATCATGCCAGTCATTAAATCATCAACTCAACCCAAGTGCAACGTAATTTTTTTTTTTTTTAAACTTTTTGGCCTGAAAGTGATGCTCCATTCATCAAAAGCACTTTCAGAGGGCAAAGTCAAAACAGAGCAAAAACCGAAACTGAACAGCGAAGACAGATGTATGTGCTCCAAAGGTGGATTTCAAAATGGAATCAAGTTGGGTTTCGAGACGAAGAAACTGGACCGAAGTGTTAGCTTCGATCATCGTTATTATCACTCTTATTGAGTTCTTCCCCCAAATCGACGCAGCTTGTTCTTCATCGTGCGGTAAAATCACCAACATATCGCATCCATTTCGCCTGCAAGGTGATCCCAAACGTTGCGGAGACAAGAATTATGAGTTACAGTGTATCTACGGCGGCGGCGGTTCCGGCGACAACGATGTCCTCGTATTGCCCATTCTCTCCGGCGAATTCTATGTGCAGTCGATCAACTACACATTCTCCAGCATCCGACTGGTTGATACAAACTTCCATGATGATCGCTCCAATAATTGCTCCTCCCTCCCTCGCTACGTCCTTCACGCCGGGAATCTCAGTAGCTCCGGCATCATCTGGAGTCTCGGATACCCTAATTTTGAAGTGATATACATAAAGTGTGAAAGAGAAATAAGGGACAATCCGTATTACGTCAGCACCGATCCATGCTTGTCGGGTTCGCATATTTACGCAGTTCCGGGGAACATATCGTTCGCGGAGTTGGAGATCGGCTGCCGCGCTGTCGCCGTCACGCCGTCGAAGATTCCTATGATGAGTTCCTTAAGCTGCCGTACGTTGACATCCACCGGAATTTGCAGGCCGTTGGATTCGAGATTCTGTGGGGTTATAAAAGTAAGTTACGTATTTTTAATTTTTAATTCTATGAAATTCTTAATTATTTGGGAAAATATCACTTCAGGTTTATTTTAATTTTAGTCCTTATAATTTATTTTTATGATTTTACATCCTTTCGTTCTAATTTATATTGATGTTCGTCCTGTATTTTGAAAAATACTCAGGACTTTAAAATGACCTAAACGGTATTAATTTTGCTAAGGTAGAGTTAAACACAATTAAATTCATTAGATTTTTTTTAATCAACACCATTAAATTCATTAGATGACTAGGCAAAAACATGTTGACCTGAAAAATATTATAAAATTTCATTCCAAAAAAATTATAAAATTTTTTTATTAAAAATTGTCTTATTAAAAAAAGAAAAAAAAATCTCACTTCCTTAAAATGATGGCAAATGAGATTGAGAGAAGCATATGGAAGTACAAGAACATTGTACCTTCACAAAATTATTGCTGTTTGAGCCATGTAAATTATGGTCCTTCTGAATATTCTTAAAAATAAAAGGATTAACATTATAAATAGATTAAACAAAATTGATTGAAAATCATGAAAATAAACAATAAGGATCAAAAAATAAATTCTGATTAAAGTAAAAGAAATAAACTAGAGTGATATTTTTCCTGATTATTTTAATAACTTTGTTATCTAATTACATTGCCTTTTCTTTGGCTTTCTTTTTTTAGCATCAGTGCCCTCCTCTCACCTAAAGTTCGAAGGTAAGTATTACCTTAAGTTAAATTCTTTTTTTAAATTTAAATTGTGGGTTTGAAATTATGTCGATCGTCTTTCATTCTTATTTGATGTATTCTAACAAAATCTGGAAATTCTCTCTTGCAGCAATTTTGTTGGGCATATTCACTGGTAAGGCCTTGACTTATTCCAAACATTTTTCTTTGGTTTTTTTTTTTTTTGGGTTTGTCCAAACTTTTAGCCTTGCTCTTGGCTAATACATGAGTTCAAGGGTTTAAAATTCATTTATTTTGTTCAAAAAATATTTTTAAATTGCCTAGGAAAGTGACTTATATTGAAAAATTATAAGAAGTTGAAGTTATATGTCTTAGTTACAATAATTGAAAAATATTTTATTTAAAAAGTTTCTCAAAGTAAGCAGAAGTTATTAGAAATACAAAGTAATAATAAATATAATCATTAATACCATTAAGGACTCTGAAATTATGAAATTTGACAACGGATCATGGTTCCTAACTTGAATTTAAATTTTTTTGATTGAATTTTTCTATGTTTTCCATATTTTCAATATTTACCATATTTTTAATACTTGTTATTATCATTTTTAGTACTTAGTTTTTTCAATTTTTTAGTCTTTGTCTTAGATGTTTTCACTATATTTAATCTTTCATGATTCCATATTGATGAAAAAATTTTGAAGATATACTAAACATGGAGTATAAGTATTCAAAACTTGCATCTAAGATAATTACTAAAAAATTAAAAAAACTGAGTATAGAAAATGTTAAAGATGAGTACTGAAAATGTGAAAGATGAATACTGAAAAAATTCAGTCAGAAAATTTTTTAATTCAAGGATCATGATCCTTTTTTAGAATTTCAAAATTTGGAGATCCTTAACTTTAAATAATAGTTTTTAGAGCCCTTAAATATTCTCCTTATTTGATTACATTACGTTAATTTTTTTTTGCCAGAAAAAGGTTATTTACTTGCATATAATTTGTTGCAATAATTTTACAGCGATCTTTTTAGCAGTAAACGTGTCGTTCACCATCAGCAGAATTACCACAAATATCCATACGAGTTATATGAGTCACAGGTAAATCTATTCTCAGACACAGTTGTATATGTATGGTATGGACTAGTATCCTTGGTGGCATTTAGAGTTCTACTTGAGTAATATTTTTAACTGCGCTGTTAATTTTCAAATGGAGAAGAGGGACACTCATCCTTGTATGAAGAAATTGAACATTTTCTTCAACATAGTGACCTCATGCCCATAAGGTACTCTTACAAGGAAATTAAGAATATGACCAAAGGATTTAAAGACACGGTGGGTCAAGGAGGCTTTGGCACTGTATATAAAGGCAAGCTACGTAGTGGTCCTCTAGTAGCTATTAAGATGTTGGGTAAATCTAATAAAGCTAATGCCAAGAATTTATTAGTGAAGTGGCGACGATTGGAAGGATACATATGTTAACGTGGTTCGTCTTATTGGATTTTGTGTAGAGGGTTCGAAGCGTGCTCTTGTTTATGAATTCATGCTAAATGGTTCTCTTGATAAATTTATTTTCCTTGAAGAAGGAAGTACCCCTCTGAGTTATGAAAAAATGTATCAGATACTCTTGGGCGGCTCGAGGGATTGCCTATCTTCATCATGGATGTGATATGCAAATTTACATTTTGACATTAAGCCACATAACATTCTTCTTGATGACAACTATGTCCCAAAGGTTTCGGATTTTGGACTTGCAAAAATTATATCCTAGAGATGATAGCAGCATTGCTTTGACCGCCGCAAAAGGGACCTTAGGAATATGGCTCCTGAGTTGTTCTATAAAAAACATTGGAACGCGTGTCCTACAAGGCTGATATTTATAGTTTTGGAATGCTTCTGATGGAAATGGCCCAGTAGGAGAGGAACTCAAAGTCACGCACTACTGAGCATTCAAGTGAAAATTTCTTTCCATTATGGTTATATGATCATTTCACTCAAGAGAAAGACATAGGAATAATGGACGACATGACAAAAGAGGATAAGGACTTGGCAACAAAGATGCTCATTGTTGCATGGTGGTGTACACAATTCAAACCTATTGATCGTCCTTCAATGAATAAGGTAGTAGAGATGTAGAGGCAGATGTTGAAAGCCTTGAAATACCTCCAAAGCCAATGTTGGGTGCTCATGAAACGATTGCAGCGAGTCATGGATCCAGTTCTGACCGATCATCATCATATAGCGATTGCATAAGTTCTAGTTATGCAAGCATTGATTCTCAAGAAAATAATGAAAATGATGGAGGAAAATAGCTTGGAATTGATGAAATGAGGCTCAAAGCTATGATTTGCTTGAATAATTATGGCTTGTATCCTTTGTACATTTTATAGTCTTGCTTTTATATGTTTAATTGTTTTGTATTGCTGCACTAATTGTTTGATGTGTTGTATGGTCGTTTGAGGGTTTGGAGATTTCATTTGCTGGGACGGATTAAAAGGGGGCAAGTTACAAAAAAGTATTTTAAAATTACTTTGATTTATTTGTTAGAATACTAAAACTAATTTTAGCTCCCATGATAATATCGTTTGGTATATTGGCCCCTCATGGTTTTGGTTCTAGATTCGCCCTGTTCATTTGTTTTTTTTTTTTTGGCTGATGACCTAAATCTCAAGAGATTAAATTAATGAAAATTAAATTTTAATTACAAAAAAGACTTATAAGTATCGATCAAAAAAAGTCATAAAAAGAAATTTAGTTGCTAATTAAAGTTAAATTTTTGTGTGCCTGAATTATTAAGTTAATTGGAATGTCATATTTATTGAGATTCTTAATCTGTAATTTTTAAAAAATGATATTTATAACTTATTTTTAAAAAATATTAAACCCCTAACTGTAATTAATTTAATTTTTTAACTTACAACAGTGACCCTCCCCTTTCCCCCATTTCCCTGATTATGTTTCTTAATAATGATTGTGCTGTTTTGTTTGGCTTGTTTGAATATTTTTTATGCTCTAAAAACACAAGTGTTTTATTAAAATATGTTTTAAGAACAAATAAAAATATATGTTTTTTACATTCTTCCTTCTTATCCATAACAATAATCTCAAAACACATAAAAAATGTTTTTATTTTTCTTTTATATAATAATATTTATTTTTTATTTTTCAAAATACTTTATAAAAATACCTTACTGAACGATTTTTTTTGTTATTGTAGAGAATAGAAAATTATATTTAAAATATGTTGTCAAATGAGCCCTTGCCTTCGGCTTGCTGTGATTTTAAATTCATTGTTTCATTATTTGGTCTTCATTGGGCCGTGACTTATTCTGTGTAGTTTTTCAAGAATCCAAATAAAAACACTAACCCAAAGCCTCAAAGAGTTCTACGATTTACTAAACCCAACCCTTGTGAAATTTTCGTGAGAAGGAAACTCCAATAAGCATCTCCATGAATCAAGCCAAGGCCAAAATACATCACACTTGGCACCAGAAAATAAATAAATAAGAATTGATGCCAGTTTGGCTTCTGTTTTTAGTTTTGTTTTTCAAAGATGTTTTGCAAATTTTTTAATTTTTTTTAAAATAAAATAAATAAATTAAATATGTATTTGTTATGTTAATTTAAAGATAAAATTAAAATTAAAAAATCAAAATAGTGATAGTCACTAGCAATTAATGATGGTGGTTTATGATAATCATTAGTCAAGGAAAATGTAATTTTTAATAGTCAAATATAATATATTTTAAAAAATAAAATGAA